TTCACTAAAGAAATGTTAAAATAACTTAAATTACATGTTAAAAGTAGAGAATATAGTTATATTTCATCTTAATTCTTTTTAATTTTGGCACCTGAAGAATTCACAAGATATTAAAATAAAATGAAGAATGATTTTGAAGCAATTGTTGAAAGATCATGTGCTGAATCATATAGATTTGATCCAGATACATAATTGGTTAGAGAACCTGCTTAAAGAAGAGATAATTAATCAGAAAAACATTAACCACCAGATTAAGCATTTGAAAATTGGTTTAAGTAGAATTATGATTAATAATTTCTTAAATGGTTTGGAACTAATTATAATTCAGATAAAAAAAAGATGAAGATATCTGCTTTAGATAGTTTATTTGAAAGATGGTTTAGATCAAATAATGTATAACCAATATTTGAAAAAGCATAATAAGAGAAATCTTAATAAGAGAAAACATATTTTGAAATTTGGGTTGGTAAGAAATTTGAAACATTATTTGAAAAGTTATTTGAAAGTAATATCTAATAATTATTATATAGGATTTTAATTAGAATTTGATGATAAAATTGAAATATAAGATTTAGTATTATCTCTTGGAGTATTAGCAAGAATGGAATTAGAGAAAAAATTAGAATTGATATTTGATTTAAGTGATGTTGATGAAGATGGATGTTTATCTATTGATGATATATAATAAATGATTAAAAGAATAGAAAAGAATTTTACAAGAGAAACATCACTTATTACTAGTGATTCATAAGCATTATAAAATGAATTGGCATTTAAAAGAGCTATGAGAAAGTTTTCATGGGCAACTATTAAAATGGATAAATAAATTGAAATTAAAAATGATGAATTAGGTTTAATTGAAGGTAAAAAATTTTTAGATTCTCTAAAATAAAATAAAATGTTATTTGAAACATTTTTACCTGGTTAATTATTATTATATGATGTTTTAATGACAGATTAAGGAGAAAAAGAGTTTTAAATATAAGAAATTGATAATAAAATTTTAGATGAAAATTAATAATTCTTTAAATAAGAACTTAAAAGAGAAGAACCTAAAAAAGAAGATACTAAAAAAGAAGAGTAGGTTGGATAATTTGAATTATTTAGAAAAGAAATACATGCACAATTAAGAAATAATTATAAAGATAAGTAAATAATAATATTAATTATATAGATTATCTAAATAATATTTATAAGAACATAAAGGTTAAGTTAGATATCCAGGTAAAATGGAAGTTGTTTAAGTTGGTAACTAAGCAAAAAGAGTTCCTAAATTAGAAAAATTTGAAGAGAAAAAAGAGGCTAAAAAGGAAAAAGAAGATACTTAATAAAATCAATAAAAATAAAATAATATCGAATCTCATGGTATTAATAATATATTTATAATAAGAAAAAAGATTGAAGGACATGAGAGAACAAAGATAGTAATGGAATATAGAGAGTATATTAAAAGATTACAAAGCTGTATGAATTATTATTATTTTATTCTTATATATTTTAATATTTATAATATTGTTTATATCTCAACCCTTAATAATGTTAATCTATTAGAAATTTTATTTAAAACAATAATTATGTTCATAAATCCATATAAATTTTTATATAATTATGTAAACTTAGATGCGTGCAGTTGTTTTGGAAGGCCCAGGTTAAGAACCTGTAGTCAAAGAAATTCCAATCCCTACACCATAATCAGGCTAAGTTTTAATCAAAGTAGACTCTGCCCCTATCAATCCTTCTGATATAGCTTTTTTACATGGGGCTTATTCAAGTGGTAAACAATTTCCATGTGTTCCAGGATTTGAAGGTTCTGGGACTGTTATTGCTAATGGGTATAATTGAATGCAATAATTTAGAGGAGGAATTATGGGATGGAGATTAGTAGGAAAAAGAGTGGCTTTCTATTCATAATCTTAATTTGGAACATATGGTGAATATAGTGTGGCAGATGCTTTGGGTTGTTTAGAATTAGATAATGATATCACATTATAAGAGGCTTGTTGTTCATTTGTTAATCCATTGACTGTGATTTCAATGTTAGAAGTAGCAAAAGAACATAAAACTTAAGCTGTTGTTCATACAGCAGCTGCTTCTTAATTAGGCAGAATGATGATTAGACACTTTTAAGCTAATGGTGTTAGAGTTATAAATATAATAAGAAGAGATGCTTAAGTAGATATGTTGAAAAANAATAATTATAAAGATAAGTAAATAATAATATTAATTATATAGATTATCTAAATAATATTTATAAGAACATAAAGGTTAAGTTAGATATCCAGGTAAAATGGAAGTTGTTTAAGTTGGTAACTAAGCAAAAAGAGTTCCTAAATTAGAAAAATTTGAAGAGAAAAAAGAGGCTAAAAAGGAAAAAGAAGATACTTAATAAAATCAATAAAAATAAAATAATATCGAATCTCATGGTATTAATAATATATTTATAATAAGAAAAAAGATTGAAGGACATGAGAGAACAAAGATAGTAATGGAATATAGAGAGTATATTAAAAGATTACAAAGCTGTATGAATTATTATTATTTTATTCTTATATATTTTAATATTTATAATATTGTTTATATCTCAACCCTTAATAATGTTAATCTATTAGAAATTTTATTTAAAACAATAATTATGTTCATAAATCCATATAAATTTTTATATAATTATGTAAACTTAGATGCGTGCAGTTGTTTTGGAAGGCCCAGGTTAAGAACCTGTAGTCAAAGAAATTCCAATCCCTACACCATAATCAGGCTAAGTTTTAATCAAAGTAGACTCTGCCCCTATCAATCCTTCTGATATAGCTTTTTTACATGGGGCTTATTCAAGTGGTAAACAATTTCCATGTGTTCCAGGATTTGAAGGTTCTGGGACTGTTATTGCTAATGGGTATAATTGAATGCAATAATTTAGAGGAGGAATTATGGGATGGAGATTAGTAGGAAAAAGAGTGGCTTTCTATTCATAATCTTAATTTGGAACATATGGTGAATATAGTGTGGCAGATGCTTTGGGTTGTTTAGAATTAGATAATGATATCACATTATAAGAGGCTTGTTGTTCATTTGTTAATCCATTGACTGTGATTTCAATGTTAGAAGTAGCAAAAGAACATAAAACTTAAGCTGTTGTTCATACAGCAGCTGCTTCTTAATTAGGCAGAATGATGATTAGACACTTTTAAGCTAATGGTGTTAGAGTTATAAATATAATAAGAAGAGATGCTTAAGTAGATATGTTGAAAAAAGAAGGAGCAGATATTATATTAAATTAATCAGATTCTGATTTCTTAGAAAAATTGAAAAATGTTACATAAACATTACGGTATTCATTCTAAATTACAAAAATAGTGCAACAGTCTTCTTTGATGCTTTAGGAGGAGAATTAACTGGTAAGATTCTTGAAGTCATGCCAAATCATTCTACTTGTTATGTATATGGAGGATTAAGTCTGAAACCAGTTGGTAATGTTTCTATAATGGATTTAATATTTAAAGATAAAAAAGTTATTGGGTTTTGGTTGACATAATATTTAAAAACAAAAAATATTATTAGTTAAGCTTTATTATTGAAATAATTAAAAGGATTACTTAAAACTAATCTTAAAACTATTGTGGCTAAAACAGTTAATGTTTCTGATTTCAAAGAAGGTTTAGAATATTATAAGAAAAACATGAGTGAAGGAAAAGTATTAATCAAATTCGATTAAAACCAATAATAATCATTATAATAAAATTGAATATATAATATAAATTATTATATAATCTTATTTATTGAATATAGAATATAAAATAATAATTGAAAATAGAAATTTTTATTCAATTTATAAATGATTATTAATAAATATTTTATTTCAAAATAGTGAGAGTAGAATTACATTTATGAAATTCCATTCTATTATTTAAGAATTGGTTATAAATACTCTCTTTTTCATCAATTGTATCCTTTAATTTTAACTCATAATATTATTCCTAAGTTTTATCTAGTTAACCCTATTTATCTTACAATATTCTAAGCAATTCGTAATTAGAAAATTTCTAAAATAATAAATAGTTTTTAATTTACATTAATAATTGTACTACATTAAGCATTTAATATTGTTGCATTCTATTGGACCTCTTGAAATTTATTATAAACAATTTTCAAATCCTGCTTAAGTTTCTCTATTTCAATATAATTTTATTGAATTTTTTCTAATTAATTATTAATTATTTAATACCTAAAAGGTCTTAATTTTTAATTGCCTTTTGTTTCATTATTTATAATAGATCTCTTTTAATTTATACTTCTAATATTTTATTTAACATACTTATTTCCTAATTATTGAAATCATTTAGAGGAATAGGCAACTATTAAGTTGATTACTAAATTTATTATTAAATCCACATATCTGGTTATGGAGGATTTTGAGTGAATTGAATTAAAAGTGAATTTAGTGTATTCAAAATTGTATTTTCATTTTCTATTTTGATCTGCCAAGTCTCTTCATCAATTAAAGGATTCTTTTCAAATTTTTATAAAACAAAATACTTTGGATTGCTTTTTGGAAAATTATAATTGAATAATCTAATAATAATATGAATAAATGATTACATTAATATTTCTATATTTTCTAATAATCTGCATAAATATTCTTATTATTTCAAACTAGTTCTTATATCAGAATCAATTTTTGTTATTCCAAAGAATTTTGAAGCTTCTTCGATTTCATTCTAAATAATTTTATTTAAGAATACTTAAATTTTTTATTCTATAATAGTTGATTAATTCTAAATTGCTTCTACATGTTATATTGAACTTTTGACAAACATGTTGCTTCTAAAATTAAAATATTTCTATTATATAATAATTTTAATAATCAGAACTCATCATTAATTATTAGAGTACTATTAAATCTATTAATAATTAATCAGACCTTCAATACCTATTTTACTTAAATTCTTTTTATGTTAACTTCAATTGAAGATTTATATTACAAAGAATATGCAATAATAATATATTATGGAATGTTGATTGAAGTTCAATTAAATGAATATATTTAGTTATTAATTTGATAAATTATAAAGTTCTGATATATAAAAATTTCATAAATAAATAAAATTACATATATTTTGATTTACCTAAAGATTTCCTGAAATAATCTAAAATTTACAAACAAAAATATTGCATTAAAATCAAAATTTTCATTATTTAAAACTTAACCCATATTTTTGATATAATAAATGAAAAATAATTTTTGATATTATTGTTTTATTTATATATATAATGAATTATTATGATAATTGGGGTTCTTCAAATATAATAATTGAATATATTTCAAATTAAAAATGAAAAATTGAAAATAATATTGATAATTCTTAGTAGAATATATTTTAATATATATATATAAAATAATATTTCGGAATTACCATAGTTATTATTTAATAAATGGAAAACAAATAAATTGCTTGGATTGTTCTCCTTATTTTGTTAACAGTCTTTGTTTTAATGATCTGCTATAAATTTTGGACATTTCTGACAATTATAAACAACAAACAACAATTTAAAAATAATATTAGAAATTTCAGTCTTAAGATATATGAGTAAACTATTATGTTAAGAAATGCATAGTATTTTCAAATGAGGTTGACTAAGAATGAAATAACATATTATAAATAGAATAAGGAACAATAAGTAGTATGTAAATTTTAAATTGATTAAAATACGAATTGCAATTTTTTTAAATATCTAGAATATAAGGTATAATGTAATGTAGGTATGTAATAAGAAATGGATAGAATAAAAAAATAATATTATCATTAATTAATTACTAAATAACAAATAGAGAAAGGGGATATAAGTGTTTTAGATGCATTTGTTTTGTAATTAAATTAAAAAAACTGGGAAGACTTTTTATCAACTGATTTCAAAAAAATAGAAATATTATTTGTGCCATCATATATTTTAGATGAGAATCAAATGTAGGGTAAATAAATTTAATAAAAATACTGTGAATTCTTATCTTGTTTTCAACCAATCGATTATAAAATAGATATTTTATTTAAAAAAATATTCTTTGTAACAACAAATATTAAAAAAAAGAGTGTTATTTTAATTGAATTAGATTTTGAAAAAAAATCATTTCTAATTCATAGTACATTAGGTAAAGAGGATTACAATAATTTTACTAATTTATGTCATCAACTAAAATTCTTAATAATCAATGCTGATTAATAATGGAATGAATAGAGAATCCAAATAAACAATAATTATTAAAACGAATAGCATTCAATATGTGGGCGATGTAACTTAAAATAAAGTAAAACAACAGAAATAGATTATTACGCGGGATGCTTGTTAGCTTATTCGTATAATTTCGGAGCCAACTAATAAGAATTTGGATCAGTTGATGATATTAAGAGTTTTATCACAAATAATTTACTAGTTGACTGATTTAACAATTATTTTTATAATTATTTTATATTTAATAAAGGATTATGAAAATCTAGAATTTTTTCAATTTTGAAATTATGAAAATGTTTTTATAATATTAGAAATTGTTTAATATTTATTTAATTTTTGAGACATAACAAATAAATATTAAGATAATAACAATGAATGAATTATATGTAAATATATTGAATAAGAAGGAATAAAAATAAGAAAATATATTTAAATATATATATATATTAATTGTAAATTTGAAATAATATAAATGTTTATAGCTTGGTTGTTTATACTAATATAGATAACAAATACAGAGAATTCATATTGTTAATGTGATAATGGATTAGAAAATGGATTATATTGTTTTTAGACAATATAAAATTGTTTAGATTGTGGGAATTATGTTGTGAATGAAAAAGATATATGTACAAGTGTAACAAGTTGTGATTAATCAATATAATAATAAAAAGATTGTAAAACATGTTTTGATAATTATTTATTATCAAATGGAAAATGTTGGTAAAAAATATTATATTGTGCAATATAATTAGATAGTATATGTTAAAAATGTTAAGATAAATATTTATTGAAAAACTAAGATGATAAAATTTAGATTTGTATTAATAGTAATGAGATATAATATTGTAAATATTATTAATAAAATGGAAAATGTAATAAATGTGATAACAATTATCATGTATCTATAAATGCAACTTTATGTTATTAAGATATTAAATATTGTGATATACATTAAGATGATAAATGTTCAAACTGTATTACTGGATATTCAAAACATACAAATTCTACATTTTGTTTTCCTGATATTTTAAATTGTTAAATTGGATCAACATTTTATATAGATGAAACATAAAAGACATATTGTAATAAATGTAATGATGGTTATTAATCTACTGAAAATAAATTATGTTCATTAGATGATAAGAATTGTCTATTATTTAATTAAGATTTGACAATATGTTTAAAATGCATTAATGATTACATATTAATTGGTAAAAAATGTGAAAATTGTCCAATTAAATATTGTAGTACTTGTGGAGATTCATAAATCTTTAAGAAAATTTGTTCATAATGTTAAACAGGTTATGTAAAAGGATCAAATGCTCTATCCTGTATAGGTTAATGTGAAAGTTAAACTTCTACAATGACAAATTGTGTTACTTGTTCAAATTAAACATGTACAAAATGTTCAGATGGATATTTTATTAATCCTTAAGGAAAATGTACTTCTTGTTCTGCTAAATATGCAAGTTGTGAATTATGCATTATTAATAAATGTACAAGTTGTTCAAATAATTATTATTATGATAATAGTAAATAATATTGTTATTTATGTTCCACTTTCAATACTGGTTGTTAAACTTGTTTAAATTCATTATCAACAGGAACCACTAATAATATTATATGTTAAAAATGTGAACCTGGATATATATTAACTAGTACATAATAATGTATGAAGTGTGGTTAATTATTTGAAAATTGTGATACTTGCACTAATCTAGGAAATAGTTTTTAATGTAATACATGTTTACCAGGTTACTTAAAATTGACTGATACAACATAAGGTTCTGTTAATCCTACATTTTATTGTTTAGATTGTTCTGGATCTATTATTAATTTATTAAATTGTTATAAATGTGAATTATAATCAGATACTACAACAACCAATCAATATAATTGTAAATTATGTAAAGATGGCTATTATCTAGAAGAATAGAATTGTCTCTAATGTCCACCAACTTGTACACAATGTACTTCACTTAATACTTGTACAAGATGTTAAACTTCACTCATTCTATATAATGGTTAATGTACATCAGAAACAACTGGATTTTAATTAACATCTTCAACTAATTCAAATGATGCATTAGCTTATGGTAATATCCTTATTTCGAAATCAAGTCTTGGACCTTTCCCATTTATAGGTACACTTAATTCCAAAGGATTTTTCTGTTAAAGTGATAAATAATGCAATATGTATGGTAGATGTTTATTGATATCTTGTAAATGTATTTAAAATATTGCTGGAAGTAGATGTCAATTCACTATTACATCTGATTTTATTAAATTGCAAACTGAATTATTAACCTACTTAAATACTTAAACTATATTTGATCCAAATTTTGTTGAAATTATTTAATTGATATCAGATACAACTTATGCAGTCACAGAAAGCAACATTAAATCATTTTAGTAAGCTCTTGATAAATAAATAGCATTACATTTTGATCTAAAATACTTTACTGCCATTGGAGCTATTTCTAAAAACTTATTTTAATAAGAAAATATTGCTGCTTAGAAATTAGCTAATCTTGATAATTCATTATTTAATGCAATATTAAAATAATCAGAATCTATTATGATTTCTGAAATTTAAAATACTGCAGGACCATTTCATAAATAAATTATTGGAAAATTTGATTTATTTAGTGATGACTCATATTCCACATTTAAATATAATTTTGTAAAATCATATGGTACTTGTGATAATGATAAAAAATTATTAAGTCCATAAATTTATTTTACTGAAGAAAATCTTGCAGAAATAAAAATACTATAATCAGATGCATAAACTCCTCTTATTTTCAATTAAATGCATCTTTACTATTAAAATCATAGATCATCAGGTTAAACTATAAATTCTACTATATCTAGAATCTAATTAATAAAATCTGGAAAAATATTACCAGTAAGTGGAATGAATATGGTTATTGTTGTTCCAAAAAGTGATTAATATTATGCTGATTTAAATGAAAATAATGTTTGTGTATAATGGAATGAAGATAAATAAATCTGGGAAAATACTAAAGCTACATTATTAAAATGTAAATATTACACTGTTTGTTAAGTAAATAATTTAGGTGATTTTGGTACTTATGTTTAGATTATTAGAAATCTTACTACTAATTCATCTAGTTTATCTAGTATCTTTGAAATTCCATAAGGATTTAAATTTGTGAAAACTGTCTAAAATTGTGCTTTTGCTATTTCAATGACTTTAATAGGATTATTTTTATCATTTCTTACATTACTATGCATTTTATATAAAAGACCAATTAAAAAAAAAAAGTCAAAGAAATTCTCTGATATATATGAAACTGTATAAACTGGTAATGCTTTAGTTTAGAATCCAATAAATTAAATCAAAATTAGAAAGAAATCAAAAAACTTTTGGAGTGTTTATCCAATAAATGCCATTTTTACAGCATCTTCTTTAGAATTCTCATTATAAAAGTTATCACTTTATATAATCTAAATTTAAATGTATGTAACATTTACATCTGTATATTTATCATCATTACCATTCAAATTTGGAATGTTAACTGCCTATTATTTATTAGTAATCATATAAACTTGGATTTGTAATTATTTGTATGGAGGATTAGCCTTAGCATTCAGAAAGAAAAGAAAAGGAAAAGTTTTGGGTTTCTATTGGATTTTATGGATAATTTTATTTTTTGGGAATATGATAATAGGAATATGGTAAATGTATGGATTGGAATTTAAGTTTGATATGTATTTATTGGTTGGTGTTTTAATAGAATTCATCTTAGATTCAATATTTTGTGATTTATTTTTAACATACTTATATTAGAGCTTATTTATAGATGAAGTAGTAGGAATATTTAAGATAATAAAATTTAAGGGANGTGATAATGATAAAAAATTATTAAGTCCATAAATTTATTTTACTGAAGAAAATCTTGCAGAAATAAAAATACTATAATCAGATGCATAAACTCCTCTTATTTTCAATTAAATGCATCTTTACTATTAAAATCATAGATCATCAGGTTAAACTATAAATTCTACTATATCTAGAATCTAATTAATAAAATCTGGAAAAATATTACCAGTAAGTGGAATGAATATGGTTATTGTTGTTCCAAAAAGTGATTAATATTATGCTGATTTAAATGAAAATAATGTTTGTGTATAATGGAATGAAGATAAATAAATCTGGGAAAATACTAAAGCTACATTATTAAAATGTAAATATTACACTGTTTGTTAAGTAAATAATTTAGGTGATTTTGGTACTTATGTTTAGATTATTAGAAATCTTACTACTAATTCATCTAGTTTATCTAGTATCTTTGAAATTCCATAAGGATTTAAATTTGTGAAAACTGTCTAAAATTGTGCTTTTGCTATTTCAATGACTTTAATAGGATTATTTTTATCATTTCTTACATTACTATGCATTTTATATAAAAGACCAATTAAAAAAAAAAAGTCAAAGAAATTCTCTGATATATATGAAACTGTATAAACTGGTAATGCTTTAGTTTAGAATCCAATAAATTAAATCAAAATTAGAAAGAAATCAAAAAACTTTTGGAGTGTTTATCCAATAAATGCCATTTTTACAGCATCTTCTTTAGAATTCTCATTATAAAAGTTATCACTTTATATAATCTAAATTTAAATGTATGTAACATTTACATCTGTATATTTATCATCATTACCATTCAAATTTGGAATGTTAACTGCCTATTATTTATTAGTAATCATATAAACTTGGATTTGTAATTATTTGTATGGAGGATTAGCCTTAGCATTCAGAAAGAAAAGAAAAGGAAAAGTTTTGGGTTTCTATTGGATTTTATGGATAATTTTATTTTTTGGGAATATGATAATAGGAATATGGTAAATGTATGGATTGGAATTTAAGTTTGATATGTATTTATTGGTTGGTGTTTTAATAGAATTCATCTTAGATTCAATATTTTGTGATTTATTTTTAACATACTTATATTAGAGCTTATTTATAGATGAAGTAGTAGGAATATTTAAGATAATAAAATTTAAGGGATATTATGAATAATGATATAAAAACTATATAATCAAATAATATTTATTAATTAACTTAGATCGTGGTTTCCATCAATCCAAGGATGATTGAGTACTTATTCAATTGTGTATCTATTTTCTGGATCAGGTGATATCATTTTTTCAAATAAATCTTAAAATAAGATGTCATTTTATTTATTATTTCTATTGGCTAATTTCCAAAAGTTATTCCATTTTTTTTCAGAAATAATCTTCCAATAAGGGCATTTTAAAGAGATATCAGAAAATGGAGGGAATCCATAATATAGAATAAATATTAGAACAGCCAGAGCAAAAATGTCACATTTTTTCAACAAATTTGATTGTATATATTTTTCCTAAATCCATAATTCTGGTGACATATAATTCTGTGTTCCACAATTTCTGATATACTTTTTTTTATTATCTACAATATCAGCAAAACCAAAATCTATTAGGATGATTCGAAAGTGGTTGTCAAGCATGACATTTTCTAATTTTATATCTCGATGAACATAATCAAGTTTGTGTAGATATTAGATAGTTTCGCTTAACTCTAATAGAATTTGCTTCACTGTTCTGATTTCTAATTGAATTCCATTCTTGATGATTGTAAATAAATCAATCTTCAATTATTGACAGATAAAATAGTTGTAATGAGGATGATGATTAATAATCTTTAAGATGCGTGGATGATCTAGACTTTTTAATATTTAAATTTCCTTCTGTCTCAATTTATCTGAAAAATTTAGTTTGTAAATCTTTATTACGCACTATTTGCCTTCATAATCACATAAATATAGATTGCTTGAAAAGCCATCTCCTATTTTCTACTTTAATTGTATCATATTAAAACCAATAATTAATTCTTACACATCTTTCATTTTACAATTTTTCATACAATAAATTGAATAACAAATCTTATATAATATAATCTATTTATATATTTATTTAATTATTTATTTATATTTTATTATTTAAATTTCGTCATTCTTCTTCCTAACCAAATTATTAATCTTCTTCCTATTAAATTTTAACAATTTATTATTCTTCAATTTATTATTTTTCATCCTTATTTTAATTCTAATTCTATTCCATTTTATTAAAATCTTCTTTAGACTGCTTTTTTTGATTCTTATTTACTTAACTTCGAGCTATTTTTCCTTTAGCTGCTGCTTAAATCTTAATAATATTTTGCACATCTTTATCATCCTAAATATTTTAATATTATATAATTACAAAACTAGTCAACTTTGGCAATTCTTCATTTTGATCATCTTAATCAATTTAATCATCTTAATAAATTTAAGCATCATGACCTATATTTGGATTCTCATAATCATCAATATCTTTTGTGATCTTATCATAAAGATCATTCACATATTCTTTTGCAGCTTTTTTCTCCTCAGGATAACTTCCTTAAGAACTGGCATGAGAAATATTGTTTGGATTCCCAGATCCCACTCTTTTTACTTATTGGCTATCAGGTCTGTTGTTTGATTTCTCTACTACTATTTTTGCTTTCTCAGTCATATCTGAAGGTTTGGGTGGCTTGTGTACTCTACCTGGAGCCTCTCCCTTAGCAATATTGTATTTGCTTTCAAATTTAAATTCCTTTCCTTATGCCATACTTTCAAAGTAATCTGCTCCATATTTTATTATATCATCTGGCTAATCTCTCAATACCTTTTTATTCACTAATCTACATACTTCTCTTGAAAAATCATGTAATATTTAATGAAAACCTTCAGGCACTGGATATTTTTATAAGTATTTTGATGCCATTTGATAACTGTTTAGAATTTATATTAATAATTATTTTTATTAGCCTATCCATCCATCATACTTTTAAATTATTTAATTATTATGTCTATTTAATTTTTCATTAATTATTTTTTTAATATTACATTTATTCAACCATTTTATATGTATATTCTTATCACATTATAAATCAAGAAATATTAATAATCTTATTCAATTAAATCATTAATCCAGCCCTCCTAGCTCAGTTGGTCAGAGCGTTGGCCTTTTAAGCCAAATGTCAAGGGTTCGACCCCCTTGGAGGGCGGCTTTTTTTTATTTTTAAACAATTAATTAATTAAATAAATTAATAAATATATAATCAAAATATTTTGTATCAAATGCTCTAAATAAAAACTAATTTTAATTATATTTAGAAGTAGGAAGATTAAAATTGGGAAGACATTTTGAATATAAATAATTATGGGAAAACTATATTATAATTCATAAATTTAATTAAAAAATGATGAATTTTTTGGTGATTCTATGATTCTCAAAAGTTTGAAAAAGACATCAGGATTGTAATAAATATTTAATTCAAAAATTTGATCAAAATATAAATTGATTTAAGAGTATTATATACAAACACTATTTGATTTTACAGAGATTAATATTTTAATTATTTTTATATCTATTTTTATGCGTCTTGGTTTGAAACTGAAAAAAGAGTCAAAACCCCCTTAAGAATAGTAATAAGAATAGACAACCTAAGAATTTAAATTTGATTTCATTTTCTTCAATTCTAATTAATAATAACAATTTGACAATCAAGATTCAAAATAATTTAAGTTAATTATCTAAAAAAAGAATACTAATGAATAAATGATAATACAGAAAGACTATGTTTATATTGGAGAGGCACAAAATAATAAAATGCATGGTAATGGTAAAATCTATATAAAATAATATGATGCATATTGCAATAACAATTACTTTGTATATGAAGGTTAATTTCAAAATGATTAAATTGATGGAAAAGGTACAGAATACTATGGAAAAACAAATAATAAAAAAGTAGATGGAATATTCTAAAAGTTGTCCTTAATTGAAAAATTCTAAGAATACAATTAAGATGGAAGTATATTGATTAAATAACAAAATTTGCAATAGTCAATATTATAATAATCCTTTATTCAAGAAGACCGAAGTGTCAATAAAACTTTTCGAATCAAATCAGGAGTTAAACAAACACCACCTTAACCCTAATCATAAAAATCATAAGTTAAATAAAATGATAAATGGACAAAGTTCGATGTTGAATTGAGCAAAGACCATCTTTCATCTCTTTTGTCAGAAAAGGCTATAAATGATTCAATCATTGAAGCATATCTTAATTACATAAATTATATAGATTCCGAAAAGTTTTTTAATCTAAAGTCATTGCCTGAAATATAAGCATATAAAAGAGCTCTCATTATTCCTTATTTCTTATTCGAATAACAAAAATTAGATGTACTCACTTATTTTGCTGAATTTTCTTATATTAAAGGATAATTTTGGTAAGTTTATAAATAAATATTTGCTATTGTTAATTCTAATGGTCATTGGATTCTTCTAGAATTAATTTTTGAAGGTTAAGATATAAAAATGAAAGTTTATGATAGTTGTTCTAAAAAAAAAGCAATATTTTATGTTACTATTTGCAAACATGTATGGAATATGATTGAACCAATCATCAAATTACATAATTTGACAATCTCTTGGAAATCTAAAGATATTATTGTAGCTGAATGTCCTTAATTATCTTAACCAAACGATTCTGGTATTTTCATCTGTGCTTATTTAAAATATTTAATTTCTAATATTAGTTTAGATTAAATTACATAGGAAGTAATTAATAATATAAGAAAAATAGAATTGTTTAATATTGTTAAAAAGGAAAAATGAAATAAAATATTAAAATAATAGATTATGCTTCATTTCAAATATTTCTATTTAGAATTGTTTATTGTTTTTAATATTTTACTTAATGATTATTCCTTTTCATTTTTCACTTTTTCTGATAACAAAAGGTCTTTTTCCAAATTACTACCTTTGTTTTCATCCCTATTTATTGAATTGTTTCTTTAAGTTCCATTATTGGTGTTATTTTGTTTATTAAAACTATTTTATTTTGTATTACTTTTTCTTTTTTCTTATTTGATTTCTTAATCCTTTTACCAACTTACTTTATATCTATTAATTTCATCTTGAATCTAATTTACTATATCATTTTCCCTAATTCTTTTGCTCTCTCTTTCTATTTCCCATTTAATAGCATTTTCTTATTATTTCATTTTCTTAATTATTTATTTATTCTTCTCAATTTCTTATCTCATCAATGATTCCTTACTGTTTGATCTATATGATCTATTTAAAGATTATTGACCCTCTATCATTTATTTAATTTATGATGTAGCTGATGGCTTATTAGTCTACAATTTTAATATTCTATCCAATCTTGATTACTATCTTTAATTTACAATATACTTTTTTAGTTTGAGCTTCTATTACACGTTTTTAATAGTCTTTAGATTTTGATGAAGAACGACTACAACTGAGATTTGATTATTGGCTTTTTGGTCTATTGATTTTACAATTACTTTGATGTAAATGTGATTAAGAGATATTTGTCTTATTACTAAATGACTTCTGGGATTATTATAGTTTATTCATTTTCTAAAACCCTTATTAACTTAATGATCTATTTCTTGAATTACTTTTTTTACACAATAATAGATTCTTAAACAAAGACTTTGCAATAGCTAACAACTAATTTAAAGTATCCTATATTAATTCAAATGTTCCATCATTTTATTCATCTTCATTTTATTATTGAATTTATTATAAAATCTGCATTGATTTTTCTAAATTTTCAAAACGTACTCTTTTTTAAAATGTTTATGAATCATTAATAATTTCTAGAATCTCATTAGTATTTCGTAAACAATATTTTATTGATTACCAATCAGACTTTATTTAATTTCCTTGAATTGATGCTATTGTTCCACTTAATAATGTTACTAATGCATGAGATATCTATATAACTTTTTAAGATGGTTTAATCATAAGTTTCAATTACTAATATATAAATTATCTATACATTAAGAAATTTGAAAGTGATTTTCTTGTTTTGGGTTTCTTAATACATTTCTGTTAATAATAGTTATTCTATAAATAATTAATTATATTAAAAATGAATACATTATCATAACAACTTTTTGTATATCGCAAATATGTCTATAATTCCTAACAATATTATAATAACTAATAAAGATGCTTTATCTAATGTTATTTTATTATTCATCATCTAAATAGTAAAATCACTCTTCCTTAAATTTGATTTCAAGTCTTATTTCTATTTCAATTCTATTTCATACTTTAAATTTAGATTATTGTAAAGCCAGAGTTCCTGTATTCATTTTAGAGTCCACATTTAATGCGATTTATTCAGTCTCTTAAGTTAATCTATCGATCTCTTCTATAATTAAATCATTCTCAAATAAGTTTCCTTTTAGATTATCTGTTTTCTTTTATTTTATCAATAATTCATTAAAACTCTCTTCAATCACATCCAATTATTTCTTATATTATATAATCTTATTCTATAATATTTTTTTAGAAGTATTTGAAGTCATTTAAGCTTCGGTTTCCATCATTTTTACCTATTTTTTATTCTCATAATCTTACACATCTTCTTAATTCTTCCATATCATTCTTATATTTTTCATTTTTATTATACTCTCCTTTTCTTAATTTCTATTTTACTTATTCGCTAATATATTTGAATTCTTATTCATTTTATATGAATTCCTCACTTGCTCTTGTATCCTACATTATTTATAATTAATTAAAAGAATGTCAGATTTAAAGACCCAAATACTAAAATATATTTATTGATATTCATTAAATTAAAGAGCATTATTTAGAATCTTCATTAATACCCTTTTTCTTATATTCAATTGAATATTAAATAATAATGAAGAAACTTTAATCATAGACTCAAATTATTTCATTTAGATAGTTTAATGATTAAATAATTTAATTTTATAATAGTGAGAATGGACAGCCTTTGAATAGATAGTAGGATTTACTACAATACCAATAATAATTAAAGAAGCATTTATTCAAAAGCTTAATAATGAAAATTATAGTCTTTAGAATGAAATTGAAAATTTGCTTGTTTTTAATGTTAAGGAAAGCATAAAAAATTATGGTTATTAAATAATTATTAACAACAGAGTATAAGGAGATTAATTAATTATAAAAGATTATGAAATAATGGGAGATTAACTGATTTAAGAAAAAATTAATTTAATATATCTATTCATCAAAATATAATACAAAAGAAAATTGCAAAATTGAAACTTGAATTAATGGAAATTAAGTAAAAAGTATCAAAATTTAGATAATAAATCTGAACTCTATAGATTATTAAAAAAAGGAATAATTATATGAAGTAGTTAATCCTTTAATAACAAAATTTATTAAATAAATATTACAATGGGTTAGAGATTGAAATAGTAATTATTATTAAATTCCCTTCTTATTTTTTATATTATATAGATAATAATCTCATTTTATAATCTTTTCGAATTTTTTAATTAATTGTTCCTCTTTCATTATTTTACTCTCTAATTATTTAATAGCATTTTATGTCATGTAAAGTTTAGATTACCTTATTTCAAATACAGCTTTCAAAAAAATGAGTATAAATTTTGCAACTGTTGACATTGCTGCTGCTTATTATTCTTAAATACTATTAACTTATTCTAGCTACTATAATTGCTTATCATTTATGCTACTAATATCTAAAGTTGCAATTAACTCTAAAAAATTTACACGACTTAGATACTTTTGGCATTCTTTCCAATTATCTTTTTATATCTTAAATGTTGGATCTAAAGTCATGCATACTAGATTAATAATCTTTTCAACTAATTCAGGAGGTCTAGCTAAGGATTTAAGCTCAACAATATGGTTTTTAGTTAATCTTGACACCCCATCAATCGCTGCTTTCATAACTTATTGTTAAGATTAATCTTCTCCTATCCCTTATATATCTTAGATCTTTAATTATATTTCATTTTATTGATCAGCTATTTATTATTAAAAAATAAATATTTATTTAGGAAGCATCAATTTTACTACATAATTTGCTTTCTTGCTAACTAATCTGAATCGGAAAATTTATTTAGTATCTAAAAATATAAATATTTAATGGAAAATATCAGGTCTCACATAATTAAGCATATTATGCATAGTTGAAGATGGATTATCCAACTTTTTTTTTAAATCATAAATTTCCTAAAAACTCATATATAAATTTTCTAGCCTTTAGTCTTATTATTTGCTATTAGTTTGCAAAGTTGTTAGCTCGTTTTATAATGTTTGTAACATTAAAATTATTTCTCAATATTAATAATAATGTATCTGAATTTGATAAAATAGATAATAATAAACATAAATAATTAATCAATTAAAAATTAGATACCAAGAAGAATTAAGGATTAAAATGAATTTAATAAAATTTAGATTAAATATTTAAAAAATAATTGGAAATTAAAATGGTTTTCTCAAAATGATTAGTGAAAAAAAAAAGATACAAATTTAGCTTCAAATATTGAGAAACACAAATATCATAGCAAAAATGTTATCATTATCATTATTACAATAGTAATAAATTAAAGAAAAATAACTTTTGAACACAATTTACATTTAATTTTTTGCTTAAAGATTGGTGTTAAAATATTTTATATTGATTTTGAGATTAACCAATATTTAACATATTAAGTATATTTAATTGTTGATATAAATTGATTTTTTGATTTTAATCAATTCACAAAATTGTATATAT